TTATTTCATATTCTTTTAGAAAATTTCAAGAGCTTTTTGATGACCTAGATACTTCACTTTTATTTTCAATAGTTTTGACAATAGGGTCATTTATGTCCAAATTTTAAGAATTTTTTTTTTTTCAAAATTTTTATTGAATTATTAATGAACAAAATAATAAATCTAAGATTTTTTTCTTGTTCATTCGCTCAATATTTAAAAATTACAAGTTTTATTTCAAGTAAGCAGTGGAAACAAAAGATAAGAGACTGCCAGAAATCATAATGTGGGCTACCGCGCTTGAATTCACTATGAGAGGTGCTAGTGTAGGGTAAGGTCCGTGTCACTGAATGTTAATGTTTACTATGGCTTTTTAACACTAGTTTCTAGTAATTTTAATAAAAATTAGCTGAAAACATTTAACACAATGATGGCAGAAGGGGAAAGTAGTAATTTACTTGCTCAGTAGGGAATTACTGTACCTATCAGAGGTCTCTTATGTCATTAAAGTTAGGTTATATCAAGCATGAGCATGATGAAAACAATGAATGTGCATGATTATTACTTACGATTTTCTGTAGTAAACTCCTTTGGTAACACATAATCGTCAGGATTAAAATGTTCCTTACAAACATACGAATGTTTCGAAGGAGTAAAGTTATCCCTGCGAATGGCTACCAATCACTGTTTTAAGCGTGTTTTGTCTCTCGGAAGCATATGTCCGCCATTTGTTTCTGAACAAAATGGAACTGCACAACACTGAGGCATAATTAACAAGTAAATACTGGTGTACGAAATAATTATAATAAAACCCTATAAACTTGTTCCGCGCCTAACAATAACTTTTGACAGGGCCTTACTCGCCAGTGGCGCCAACTGGTGAGCCTAAAAATGGTAGCCCTCACTGATTGTAACAGTTGTGACAATTGGTAGTTGTGGTTTTGTGTGTTTAATATAACAGGAATAATTATTAAAAAAAAATGAATTTTCACGATAATGAATTAGTTGATATGCTTTCTATGTTGGGAGAATGCAATAGAAATTCTTTATTAGCATCTAGAATGTACGCTGCTACATATCCAGATAGAAGACACCCACGACTGAGTGCTTTTGAAAGGCTGAAAACTAGATTTCAAGCAACATTAAATATTAAATATAAAAAGTATTCAAGAACTCGTAAGGTTAGTAGAGAGGATAATCAGTTTGCAGTTTGCACTTCCATTGTAGAAAATCCTAATGTAAGTGTGAGGCAGCTCAGTGACCAACTAGATATTTCAAGGAGTGTGATAAATAGAGCAGTAAAGAAAAGTAAGTTCTATCCCTATCATATTCAACGCCACCAGAAGTTATCAAATCTCGATTTTGAGAATAGACTAAGATTCTGTGATTGGGCACGAATTAGAATTAATGAAGATCCGATTTTTAACTTCGTTTTATTTAGTGACGAATCTACATTTTATAACTGCGGCCAATTTAATAGTCACAATTTTCATTATTACACGACAGAAAACCCAAGAATAATTCGGGAAGTTGATATATAAAATCGTTTCAGTGTGAATGTATGGGCTGGAACAGTGGGCCAACATATTATCGGACCATATTTCTTTGAAAGACCTCTAACAGGTCAGAAATACTTAAATTTCTTGCGAAATGAATTAGATGACCTATTACTAAATATACCACTAAATATCATAGCTAGACTATGGTTTCAACATGATGGTGCACCAGCATATTATAGCTCTGAGATAAGAGAGTACCTAAATGAAAGTTTCCATAACGCTGGATTGGTCCAGGTGGTCCAGTGACTTGGCCTCCAAGATCACCCGATCTTACAAGTTTCGATTTTTTTCTGTGGGGTACTATTAAAAACATAGTTTATCAAGAAGAATCCAGAGACATCAATGATTTGAAAAATAAAATAAATACATTGATTACAATTACTCCCCAAATGTTAATCTAGTGATATTACTGGATCCTTCCACGATAGAGTTAATCAAATCACAACGGTCAACACATTGAACATTTGTTAGAATAATAATTTAAGTTAATTGTTACCACTTTGTTATTTGTTAATTAAAGTTAGTGCATGTAGTTTGAATTGGTTTTATTGTATTTTCTACGATATGCAACATTTGCATAAAATGTGTCAAAATAAGGCACTTACATTTTTTTGTTTCTCAAAATTTGGACATAAATGATCATATCCTCAAAACCATTGAAAATAAATATGAAGTATGGTAGGTCATCGGAAAGCTCTTGAAATTCTCTAATCAAATATGAAATAACATACAGGGTGTTCCATTTGAAATAACAGTTATTCAGGTTTTTAAATCTCCATGTTTGACACAAAATTATGAACATCTTGTAAAAAAAAAATCTAAAATTGGATACATGGTTTGAAAGCACTTTTCTATTGTAATTCATTACCGTATCGAAACATTTGAAAATATTTCAAATTAGACGAATACAATGTCTCTTGTAATGGTGTACATACGTCAAAATTTCTACATTGTTTCAAATAATTCCTGAACTACTCAAACAATGTACATGTTATGGTAGTTCATTGGAAAGCTCTTGACGTTCACTAACCAAATATGCAATAATATACAGTGTGTTTCATTTAACTTAACAAAGTTGTTTATTACCCAGCTAAAACGAAATACCCTGTATGACTAAAATTATTTTTAGAGTATGCAATGATGAATGCTGAGAAACTTTTCTTTTCTATCTGTAATAGTTACAGAGTTATGGAACAAATACGCACTAGGTGGACACCCTGTATAATATAAAAATCCCATTAATAAAAGTTGTTTAGAATGCGTGCCTACTTACCAAATTTTAAGAATATGAACTTACTTTATTGGAACTGCGCCCTTTTTCACTAGTAGTCAGTTTTTTGTTGAAAATAAGATAAGACATTAAGAACAAACGTTATTCACAATACTATTTTAAAAAAGATATTTGTGATTTCAGAGCACTCTCAACTTGTAAAAATGACTTAAAAATTCTAAATAAAATACTAATTTATTAAAAAAATGGGCGGTCTCACTAAATAATGAACTAGATGAACAGATCCCCAAGAATCAATTTGGTTTTCGACAAAACTCATCTACAATCCACCCACTTATCATAATGACATCAAACATACAAGCTAACAGCATAATCGGAAATAAATCGGCAGCAATTTACATAGACTTAACCAAAGCATTTGACTCTGTTTGGCACAAAGGGTTGCTATTTAAGCTATATCACGCAAATTGTCCCAACTATATTCTTTGGTTTCTTAAAGATTTCTTAGAGGGTAGGAAAACAAAAATCACAATAAATACATCATTTTCCAGTCCATATGAAAACGAACAAGGGGTTCCACAGGGTTCTCCATTGACGCCAATATTATTCAACATCTTCTGTTATGATATACTAAATAACTACCAACAAGCACAGAACTTAGAGTCGTACTTACTTCAGTTTGCAGACGATATAGCCTGGGTAGCACACGGGAAAACCATTGAGCAAACAATAAATACCCTGCAGATTTCAACAAATGAAACGATTCAGTGGTGTAATAAGTGGCGATTAAAAATAAATCCCAACAAATCACAACTAATGATATTTAATCACAACATCACAGATACCTCTCCAACTCTACAAATATTTAACGATAGATTGACACCAACAGTCACAGTGAAATACCTTGGCATCATATTGGATCAAAAATTAAATTTCAACAGCCATACTAAAGAAATATGAAAAATGATGATAACTAGAGCGAAACATTTTAGATCCCTAACCTATAACAATCAAGGCATCAACATCAAGTAAAATTTACAAAATGATATGTCGACCTATCATAGAATATGGCTTCATCCTTTTTAACACTTGCAGAAGACCAGCATTGAATAATATAGAAATTGTAGAAAGAAGTAGTCTACGTAAAATAACAAAACTTCGTCATCCAAATAACCCTCTTCATAACATATCCAATAACTCACTCTACGAACAAACTGGTATTCAACCCATACTCACTCGCTTTAAGGAGCTCACCAAGAAATATACACAGTCTCAAAACCGCCTTACCCTAATACAACACTTTACACTCCAGTTACGAGAAGATGTTACCCGAAGAAGAAGAAATCCAGAAAAAACTGCTGGAAGTAATTACTGCTGACAACGAACAATAGAACAATGACATACCTAATTGATGTGCATATATGTGATTTTAATTTTTTTTTTTTTGTACATGTTCAACTCTACAGAAATGTTATATTAATTATCATCAATTAATATGTTGTAATAATTAAATCTGTAAGATAGGCTGAAAGACTTCGGTCGCTGGCCTTTTGGTACTTATCCAATAAATACTATTCTCTCTCTCTCTCTCTCTCTCTCTGGGCAGTCTCAACAATGTAAATTTATGTTTCTGAAATTTAGCAAGGAGACAAATTGCATTCTAAACAACTTTTTTAATGGAATTATTTTATATATAAAAAAATTAAGGTAGTTTATTAGTGACGATTTTTATAAATTGACTTATAAAACACCCTATATAGTAGTAGTAGTAGCTACTTATTTTACTAGGCAAGTAGGCCACAATGGGCCCTTTTTACCTAGGAACCTACAGTTTAGCGTGGACTCCAAACCACGGTCCTCGACTGTCAACTAACCCACCGCCTGGGCCTGCCCGCCTGCACCGCTAGCAGAGTGGTAAACCTCCTGGGTAGGTCTCTTCGACCTTCCACCCGGGCTTGCCTCTCCGCCTGCATCAGGCTAGCGGCCTTCCCGGGATTGTCCGTTGACAGCCTACCGACTGTTAGATGAGCTATCGTTCATCCATCCAATTGCCGGACTCGATCAGTGCTGATTAACTTCACTGATCGAATATCGGAAATTAAACGGATGTCCATACCTCATCCCCAAATACCCTATATAACTACGATCAACAAATATATCTTAGTTTTACATCAAGCTGGGCAGAAACCCGAAGTGTCATTCCAAAATTTGACAATTTGTTGCCCATATGCGGCTTCGTGGTCAAGTGGTAAGGACACTTGCTTCTCATCCAGAAGTCCGGGGTTCAATCCCCGGTCGAGTTGCTAGGATTTTTTCTTACCAGGAACTAATCCTAGTATACTCGGACATTGGATGTGTCCATTGTTTCTAAATTTGTAGCCCGTTCCCACACAAGGTACCTTGAGGTACCTTCAGGGATACAGGAGGTTGTATTACTTGTGGTGTTTAATTTTAATATTATTACATCTCTTGTTACATCTTCCTAGGACATAGTGTATGTGTAAAGCTGCCAGGCTTTTACGATCCACGTATTCCAATATAATTTATGTAACTTATCTGGTGCAAACTATACTAATGCCTTGAACATTGCACAGGAGATTTCATGAAATGTTAAGACACCCGAGGTATGTATTTTAATGGTTTCATACAAATGATGCTATTGTCTCTTATCCCAGGTGCCATGCCGGCCGTGCACGCACAAAAATTGTCCGATATTTATTAAAGTATAAAAATTCAATTATTTTAAAATGTAATGTAGATAGTTAAACACAGTTTGTATAGATTATGAATATTGTATTAAGGAAATAAAATTGTATGCAATTAATGTTAGAATAACTGATATAAATGATGAAATATTAGAATGTATTTCAAATCAAAATCTGAAGATTTTTCTACCACCTGTAGATTGATGTGAAATTTATTAATATTAGGAAATAGGATACTAATGATAATTAACTGTAATGGTTCTTCAATTTGGTTACTTACTGACTTTCGGATTTTATAACACCAATTTCATAATTAAGAGGAGATCTACTTGGTAACTGGTCTTCCCAAGTAGTTCTTGTCCTTGGCGTTTTATCCAGAGGAGCAGGTGTAGCTCTTGGGGAATAACTTTCTCCTGGTGGATATACCATTTTTGACGGATGGGAAAAAGCTCCTTCCAATGGGCGACGTCTTAGCCATCTCTTGCACGAGGCGTTGTCATACCATTCCCTTAAAGAAAACGAAAAATAAGAATCATGTCTCAGTAAAATATAATTGTATTACGTTAAAAGTATTTCAAGTTTATACAGTTCATATTCGGATATATAATATATTTTCTTGTGAGGAAGCAATTTATCACTGCCATCATGTAATTTAATGCTATATTTATATATAGTTTCCAAATCTTCATATGGTTTTATACTGCAGTCCACTTCATGTATGTTCTGTTGTTCCATTTTAAGTGATTTACACAACTCATGTAAGCTAATCTTTTAGCTTGGCCAAATTTCATGAACTAAATATCATTGGCAATATATTTAATTGGGTGAGCTAATAATAAGTGTTTTAAAGATCATTCAATTAGATATTTTTTTACTTGGCTAGTGACTACTATACGTTGTGTATTTGGGATATAACTAATTCATAAATTAAATTCATATATCGCGTTTTATATTATTGTAATGCCTCTTGTTAATTAAAAAAAGAAAAATATTTCCATTAAAACCAAACATTTTCGTTAATTTTTATTGAGCATTGCTGATCATTTTTGCAAGAATTTAATAATATAGTAAAGAACAAGTGTTATAAATAAACCTTATTTTCTTCTTCTAATGGCTAATACCTAACAGGGAATGGAAGTTTTAAACTTGACCAACTTAAGTTGTAAAACTAAATCATACCATAAAAACTATGTGCCCACGATAACCTTATAACTCAGTGACATCAATGATGATATTTTAAAAGAAACCAAAAAACAAAACATTTAATTGTGATGTTGAATTTAATAAATATTTATCTAGTTTCATATAATAAAACACTTCTTTTTTATTAGTAATTTACACTTCCTGCCAAATAAACAAATATTAACCTTTTAAAACCCTTGGTGTTTGAAATGAAAATTGTAGAATATACCACCAAATCATAAATTAACTTATAATTTAGCAAAGGCACAAGTGGTGTGAATTTTAAGTTCACATTAAGAAAATAGCATCAACTGGACATTTATTTAAAAGACTAAAATTAATTAAAATAAATTTAGAGACAAGACTGCAGTTATTCCATCTACCTGCAAAGCCTGTACCAAAAACAACAAAATTTAGAGAAAACGTATATGCATTGTTTCGATTATGAAGTGATTTATCATTTTTATTCTTGCAAGTTGTATGCATATATTTTTGTTTCAAATGAAGTTGCCATTACATTCAAAACACTATTCTAACAATTTAAATAATAATTTAAAACTAGGGATGCTGGGTTGGAAAGTTCATGGTTTATTTTATGTTACTCAATATAGTAATTCATAAATACAAATATTTCAAAAAATCATACTTGACATACACCTACTAGACAAAAAAAAAATACTTTTAGGTACAATTAACTTTTGCCCAGCTGGTGTCTAGGTCAGTTGTAAAATCACATAGCTCGCATAAAGAATCCATTGTATCACTTTTCATTTAACAAGTATAGCTTTTCTGTAGAGAATTAAATATCGCCTTAAACACAATGAAACAAAATTTGCAAAACCTAACCTCAAAAAAAGTTGTGGTTTAAAGTGTCAGAGAAAGTATTGTAACTAGCGCCCTCTATTACTTGTGATGTGGGCAATACCATGCTTGTAATCGTCGACCTCGAAAACAAGCCCTTACCAAATTTGACGTCGATATGTATCATAGTCGCTGAAATTAAAAAATTGAATAAAATTGTTCAACTTTAACACCCTTTATCTTGAAAACAAAAAGAGTTGGACCCCTACTTTTTGGGGTGAATCGACTTGGTTTAACATCAAAAACCTACATCTAAGCAGTGTCCTAATCTTTTCGAAACACCCTGGATAGCAATAAACTGAAAATTATCCTCGAAGTTACCCCTATATATTTGATATCGTAATAATCGTGTACGTGATTTTTATTTAAAGAAATGTGTTTAATGAATTGCCCATGGGTGAAATTACAGTGGGTAAGAAAATATAACTAGGAGATTGTTAATAATAATAATAAAATAATAACAAACCTGTAGAGTCGCCAGTAATCGCTGAGGTATTTGGAGCTAATTTGAAAATCGTCAGAGTACCTCTTGTCAGCCCTTTCAAGCCAAGGATGCCTTAATGCAGCTCGAACATCCATTCTGTCTCCTGCTTCGTAAACCAAAAGCCTGGAAATAAAATCTCTACCCTCTAAACTGATTCTAGACCACCAACTTTCGTCTTCAAAGGTCCATACTCCAGACCGAATATTGGTCAATGTTTCTCTGTCATTAGAACCTCTGAACGGTGATCTTCCTGATAGTAAAATGTATGTGATGATACCAACACTCCACATATCATGTCCAAATCCAACACCATCACCATTTACTGCCTCTGGACTGACATATTCTGGAACTCCAAATCGTAGAGGATAATAGTTACCATGTTCAATTCTTCTAGTTAAACCAAAGTCAGTAATCTTCAAATCATCACCTCCAGGATGAGCTATCAAAAGATCTCCTAACTGTAAAGAATATAAATGAGATAATTTATTTCTTATAGATGATATGACGATATTTGGCAAGTCAATATAAATATTTTTATAACATATATGTATTATATTTGATTATATATTATAACTGTATTATAAAATATAATAATATAAATCAACCATTGCATTTTTAAGGCACTAAAATTCCAATATAAAATTAATTCAAAGAACTTGATTTATAATAAATGCCACTAAATTGATCTTGTTATATCTATTTATACATTATACATTATTCATAAGATCAAATTCTGTATGTAACATAAATTACAGAACATTTTCATTTTTTAAATTTATTTGTTGGAATTTAGCCTGTTAAAAATGCTAAAAATAAAATTAACAGGCTATTTGCTCTGAATATATCAAATACACAATGTAACATCGTATAAAGCCCTGAAAGATGTGGTCTGAATCATATTGATCCCTTTTCATTAATCTATATCAAATTTTTTTTGGCCGAAGAGATTGGTTTTTTTTTTTGTGTTTTTTCCAAATCCATAAACGTGTGAAATTATAAAAATTCTCACGGTCATCATCGTATTTTTTTTGCGTGCCTACAAGCTATTTCAAGCCAGTTCAGATTAACAGTAGGTCTCGAAAAAAAAAAAAAAGTGGAAAAAAAAACATAAGCGAGTCGGTCGGTCCAGACGCAGACGATTTTCTTTTATTGGTTTTGGAAAAAAAATTCTTTAGCATTTTGCCAAACAAATCAGGTTAATGCTGAATGGCTACCTGCAAATTGACAGGATTTTCGTATCCAAATTTAAATAGGGCCGAGATTAGAAAAATTCCCACGGTCCTTGATGCAATTTTCACTATGCACTGAAAAACTGAAAAACCTGAAGAACCTAGAAATGCCAGGGTATTTAGGGTGGTCGAAAGTCATGGAAAGTCAGAGAATTTGAATAAATTACAATAAAACAAAAGTAACGGAACTGGCATAATTATCTGTCAGCCATGGAAATTGCTTTTACGAAAACTACCATCTACTGGAACAATGTGGAACACACACACTGACTACTATTAATACCTACTGAAGGTCATTAAACTTCTTCCCTTCAGTAAATTCTGGACCCACAATAAAAATTTTAAAATTATCCTGGATATTGCATAATGGTATTTAATATCCAATAGAAGGGCTCCACTTATGTTGGTTGCCTTGGATATAATTTTTTTTTCGTAAATTTTGTCATTAAAAAAAAGAATCGTATCAACTAATTCATATTTTGAAAAAAAAAAAAAAATTATAAAGAGGATTTTTTATTGGATCAGTATATTCCCACATAGCATTTATTATCGTGTGTATATTCAATTATACAATATACATAATTAACATAGTATTGTGGATATTCGTACGATGTTCCAAAATCGTACAGTAGCTCTGTTGTGCCTGAATGTATATTGTGGGTACATACGTTATGTAATACAGTACAGTACAGTCATAACTCTTTGTACTACAGTATAATGTGAATGATAGATGTATATTTGTTTTATAACCTATCATATGATACGTACATCCGTTTGAATAGATATTTAATACTGTCAATATTTTATTTATCAGAATAGGGAAGGAGAATTTTTAAAAAAAT